GGCTCGCGCTGGGGGCCACTGGCCCCCAACCGTGATGTCTCGGCCGGCGCTGAGGAGCGACTGGAGCTGGAGAGCGCCGGTGGAACTTTCTTTCATTGTCACCGGTCTCCCGAGCCAGCCCGGAGCTGAAAGTGGCTGGTGTGGGGACCCGAGGCTGGGTTGGGGAGGTGCTGGGGAGGATGCCCGGTCCCCGGCCGGGTTCCCTGGCTGCCTGCTCGCTCCAAGCTGCTGGAGAGGAAGGGGAGGAACCCGGCCATCTTGTCTGGCCCAGTGTTGCAAGCACAAAGGTGTGAGTAGCCTTGGCATGTGCTGATAAAATGGAAGTGATCTCACTCATGATGCTGCCAGTGCAGGAGCCAAGCGGAAGACTCCCAAGCTCTGCATCCTGCCTGAATCCCAGCGAGCGGGGATCTCCACTGCCTGGGGCAGGCTGCCCCCAGGACTGGCAGCCTTGTGAGAGCGTCTTGGGGGCTGGCAGGGACTGGGCTGGGATTGCTTGCAGGGGAGGAAGGAGCAGCTGTGGCAGCATCTGAACTGGTGAGCGCTTGCAGCTCCGTCAGGCCAGGCTGGTGTCATTGTGGGGATGCTGGATGGGGTGACACAGGGCAGGTCCTCACGGATGCCTGTCTCGGATCTGAGTGTGACTCTCTGTAAATCTGTACAGTGGCTTTGCTGCTGATTCTGTTCAAAACGTGAAGCTGAGGCTTTTCCACCCCAAGTGCCCAAGTCTGATGTCTGTGACAAGTGGCATGGTGTTGCTGCTGTGTGACTGATTGGACTTTGCTACTGAGGGTGATGGCAGAAGCTTTTGCCACGCAGTGGGACGAGGCCACTCCCAGACCTCAGCTGGGCTCTTTCTTTGCAGCCACGTAAGGAATTCTCTTGCAGTAGTGGTGTTGTCATGGCAACATGCGTGTTTCTCCCAGCTTGCTGGAGCCTTGCTACAGGGGAGAGAACCAGTGTTCCCGGTGTAGTGGCGTCTTGTACTTACCCTGTTGCTTGGCCCTTGGGTCCTGAGGAACGTCCCTGTTAGATCTCTGTGGCCTGGGGAAGCGATGGTGAGTCCCGAAGGCTGAGGCAAGCTCTGCCCTTGGCTTGCAGGGCTCCTGGTAGCTCCCTGAACTCAGGGCTGCCTTCCTGAAAGAAGCATGGAGTAACGGGAATGCGCTGCTTGGCAGTGGGGCTGCCTGGAAGTGTCACCCCTGTGCTCCCGGGAAGCCTGACAGCTTCAGCTGTATCCGGTGAGGAGAAGCAGAAAGGGAGGTGTAAGGACCCTTCTGCAGAGGGAGAGAGGCAGTTCCTTAAAAGCAAGGGTGGTTTTTTGGGTGGGTTAAGTGCTGCTGGCAGGAAGTCAGGGCTAAATGATGTGGTTCAGGGGGTCAGGAAATGGAGGCCTGCAGTGCTGGTGTGTCTCTATCCCCTGGGAGAAGGAGGAGGCTCTCCACCTTTGCAGCTCATCGCCTCTTTAATAGGCAAAAGATGTGTGTCAAGCAGACTCCTTCCCAGTTCTGTTTAATGTATCATTTTGTTCCTCTTTGAGCAGACCACTTCCTTCTCCAGAGGAACGTGCTGGCGGGGCTGGCGCTGGGGCAGCCTGCTGCAGCGCTGCCTTGTTTGAGCATCAAAGTGTTGCGGGTTTCCCTGGTGAAGGGCAGGGTGTGCCGGCATGGGAGCTCCGCTTCAATTTGTGTTCTCACAACCTGGTCTTGAAACATGCTGCGGGGGGGATGGGGGGTGGGTGCCAAGTGCCTTGCTGCCGACCAGGGGGAAGACCTCGGACAGCCTCTCCTGGGAACTGAACATGATTTGTGTCAGGCCCTGCTCTAACACTGGCTTCTTTCATCGCTCTGCTCCTCCCTCCTTGGGCATGGTTAGAAGCAGCATGTCCTTGCAGGCTGCTTTGTTACAAGTAGCTGGGATATTTCATGTATGCCTGGCATGTGCCTGCGCACACATCTCTGTAGGAGATCACAGTGCTGCCCTGAAGTGGCTGCTGCCCTGTCCATCTTTGTACCAGTGCAGTAATCCTGCTGGAGAGCAGGATTCTGGGTTCCCCTGGGGTGGCTCAGGTGGGGTGTTAGTGTCCCCAAAGCGTCTAGGCTTCCCCCCAGGCTCTGGTTGGGGTTGATGCAGACTGGGCTGTAAGCAGATGCCTTGTGGTCGATAGCAGTGCTGCTGTAACAGGCCTGGCTGGGGGTGGTGTGATGGCTTCTGGTCTCTGCTGATTCATTAAAGCCTTGGTCACTTTTGTGGTCATGTTTCTGGCAAATGCGTGGTGCCTGCGGGCTCTTGCCGATTTCACCGGCTCCTGGCATGTATGACTGAACTGAGGTGGCTGTCTGCGTGTGGCTGTTGCTGGGGAACAGCCTCCTTAACCTGTCTCAAGACTGGATTGAGGCTTTTGCTCTTCCTCTGGGTTATTAGTGAATTGCTGGGAGGAAGGAAGCCTAGAGCACAGCTGGCTCTCCAGGGCTTGAGCTGCTGGGGTTGTGGGCGCTACAGCGATCGGCTGAGCCCTGCTGCTGCCCCAGGTCGGGGCAGTGCTGTAGAAAGCCTGGCCTGCCAGTGCCCTGACACAGCTTGTCAGACCTCTGAACCTGAAGCTGTTAATCTTTCTTGCGTTGCTGATGAGAGAGCTTGTTTCAAGCAATGCTTATGTCCAGATCACATGAGTAAACTGACTTTGTGCTAAATGGTAGCTGTCACAGAGCTCTGGTGTGGTGGATAAATAGGACTGTGATTGATGGCCTGGCAGGATTACAGCAGCTGCAGAGAAGACCCATTAGCGTAAGTCATCTACTTAGTGTTTATGGCTTAAACTGTCATGTCAGCTCAAGCTGACAGGCGAGAAACCTGCAGGATGACTGCTGCATGGACAAAGCGTGTGTGTGTGAAATGTTGCGAAGCTTAATATGTGTGTAAGTGTATGGGAGTGCAGCCTCTGTAAGAAAGTGGATAAAGCACCCTGGCTTTGTTTTGGCTTCCCATGTGCTGCTGCTGACCTGAAGGCAGACCTCAGCTGCCCTGTGCTGACTGCTAAACCTGCCACAGACTGAGTCACCCTCATCTGCTCCCTCTAGGCTGAGGCAGAAGTGGCATCTCTGAATCGCCGTATCCAGCTGGTAGAGGAGGAGTTAGACCGAGCCCAGGAGCGCCTTGCCACAGCTCTGCAGAAGCTGGAAGAGGCAGAGAAGGCTGCAGATGAAAGTGAAAGGTGAGCAAGGGCTGCTGATCTCACTCCGTCAAATATCTCAGATGTGTTCCTGACTGAGGTCCTGGTGCCATGAGCCTCTTGGGCTCCCTGGAGGGTGGGAAGTAGATACAGATATCAAGGCTGGATGTGGGAGTCGGTACCCGCTTATGCGGAGCAACTGAAACAGTGCTGTTGGCCTTGAGTGAGTATCTTGGAACCTGAGGCTAGGGAGTGAGTAAGTGCTGTGTGCTACCATGCATCCCTGCCTCCAAGGGAGGAGAAATAAGTGGGTTCTGGGACACTGTTGACTTGTAAAGGTGGCTGCTGGTGGGGAAGCCTCTCTTCCTGCTGCCTCTGCCAGCATCCTCCCTTCTGGCAGATGTCCCCTGACCTGGTGGTGTGATTCAGAGGGGAGTGGTCCACTTCCAGTTGGCTGATGTGCTTTATCGGTGCACACACTGTAGTGAACAGCCTGACCCAGCTGATGTCCTGCCATGAAGATGGACTTGGCTCTTCCTGCATTCCGGCCTGGAAAGTGCTTGGCTCAGCTGTGTGGAGTCCCTAAGACAGCCTGGCTTGTTCTTCTCGGCAGCACCACATTTCCCTTGGTCCAGGAGCCCAATGAGCTGCTGGAGTAATGCTCCAAGTAACAGTTAATTCTGAACAGTTGAGGTTGCTGTATTGGCATCAGGCCAGCCTGTGCTATCCTTTGCACTTGGAGGTGTTGTGGCTCATAAGGAAGCAATGTGGTCCTGGGGGAGCACTGTTAATGCTCTGAAACTCATTACACCGTTGGCTTGTACAGGATTGTTTTATACATCTCCCCTGCCTGTGCTTTCTTTTGGGCAGAGGCATGAAAGTCATTGAAAACAGAGCTCTGAAGGATGAGGAGAAGATGGAACTGCAGGAGATCCAACTCAAGGAAGCCAAGCACATTGCAGAGGAAGCAGACAGGAAGTATGAGGAGGTGAGACCCTTGGATGCTCTAGTACAGCTGACCCTGGCCAGGAGAGGCGGCTCCTCTTCCTACTGACAGGGCTTTCCTCAGCAAACCTGGGGGGAGAGCCTGGCTCTCAGCAGAGCTACATCAGTGTTCCCCTTAGCCAAGACTCTGGCAGCTCCAGTGACTCCTGCAGGTATTCCCTTTACTGCCTTGCACAGCCTAAAGGTACAAAAGCATCTTCCTTCTTCTTAACTCCGATTCTCCCTTCCAGGTTGCTCGGAAACTGGTGATCATAGAAGGAGATCTGGAGCGTACTGAAGAGAGAGCTGAGCTTGCAGAGTCGTGAGTAACCTGCTCGCATGTAACTGGCACGTCTACCTTTGCATGGAAACTAACACAGCATTTCTAACCTTGTTACACAAGGCCTGAAGCACAGGGTGGGTTTAGATCCTCAGAGTTGGAGCACTCTCCTGCTTGGAACAGGATTAGGTCCACTGAGGATGTGGAGTTTGCAATGTGATTTGCCTTGTAGTGGAGATGTTCTGCCCCTTTGCATGGAGGGACTCCCTAGTTAGCGAGGCCAGAGAATTCACCAGCACTGCTTTGTATGTATGGTCACGAGATCCTTACATGTTGTTATGGGGCACGTGAGCGCACAGCACTTGTCCTAAAATGGCAGAGGCCTCCCGGGCCAGGAGCTGAAGTGGCATGCGAGATCTCCAAGGGCAGAACTGTAGCTGAGGTTGGTCTCTGGCCTCTTAAAATATTTGCAGTAACTACTGCAGACTTCTGCACTGCTGAGCAGCAAGCTGGACTCTCTCTGCTTGGAGCAGACACGCAAATTGTTGTTTTTGGGCTCCTTTCACGTGTCCGGATGCTTTAGCTGATCCTTGAGGGGCTGGTTAGGGCCTTCCTGTACTCTGGGCCTTGTCTAACAAAGTTAGTGTGTACGCAGCAGTAGCACTGTGCTTCCTGCCCAGACATGCATGTCATGACTGTGACTTTTGTGTTTTTCCCCTACCCCCTTTTTTGCTCTGTGGTATTGTGTTATTGGTGCTCCTTTTGACCCTTGCCCCCACCTGGCTTGTGCCATCGTGTGACCGTCACTAACAGTCGTTGCCGGGAGCTGCAGGAGCAGATCAGAGTGATGGACCAGAACTTGAAGTGTCTGTCTGTTGCCGAAGAAAAGGTACTAACCTTTCCCTTCTCGAACCATTAAACCAGAACTCTTGTGGTCTTCTTGCTATGCTCCTTCCCTCAGCTTAACTGCATCTTTCTCTCTCCTGGAATGTTCTGTCCTCTCTGCCCATAAATATTCCTGTCTGGTGGTGGCTGTCTGTCTGTCCATCAGAACAGCTTCCCTCCTTACAGCAAACTAAACATGCAGTTTCTACTTGAAGACTCCAGGTCCAGCAGAAATCTGTGTCCACATCTCAGCTGCTCAGCTCAGTGCCCTGCGCATGTGCTGGCAGAATACTTAAAACATGAACTTGGAGGCAGGAAGGGAACTTGCTTTCCGCACAAGTGCCTCAAAGCAGGGTCCCATGCAGTCTGATCGCAGACCATCTAAAGAACTTCCTGATCTTCCCTGCACATGGATTCACTTCTTGTCTCTCCTGTCTTTCCCTCCCACTTTTCCTTTTTCTTCCCCCCTTTCTTTATGAAACCCCACAGTAAATGTTCCGAGCTGGAAGAAGAGCTGAAGAATGTCACCAACAATCTCAAGTCTCTTGAGGCTCAGGCTGAGAAGGTAGGGCTGCTTGTCCAAGGGCCAGAAATGTTTCTGTTTTGCTAGGAGGGTGTGTGACAGCAGAGCACCCACTGGAATGGAAATGATGCAACTGCAGCCTTAAGCAAGCAAGGAGAGCTGTGCTTGCTCTCCTGGGAGAGCTAACGGATTTCAGTGCAGGGCTAATGTTGACTGTAGAAGCTGGGAGTGTGGGAAGCCTGGCTGCCCTTCCCTGCCTTGGGGCAGACTTGATCAGCCAAGATGTTTATGCTGCTGGGATGAGAATTTTTCTGCACTCAAGTTTGTGTTACGTGCATGATGTGGGACTTGCTGCCTGACCCAGTTCTGTTGGACTAGGGTAGGAATGTGAACAACTCCCAGTTGGAAGTTTCTGTGGGCATGTGCGCTGCAGTGAGGAGTTTGTCTCCCTCTGTAGCTGTGGGCTCTCTGGAGTGGGAGGTACCTGGGGCTGCTGATTGCTGACTCCTCTCCTTTTCCACAGTACTCTCAAAAAGAGGATAAATATGAAGAAGAGATCAAGATCCTGACTGATAAACTCAAAGAGGTGAGTGACCATGTTGGGATGGCCCAGCTGGGTGAGCTGACCTCAGCTTGACTGGGGAGAGACGTGGAGCGTGGGAGACTTCATGTCCTCAGGCTGATGCCTCTGTAGTCCTTTGCTGTATCCCAAAGCTGTTGTACTAACTGGCTTGCTTCTGTCTGGCAGGCGGAGACCCGTGCTGAATTTGCTGAACGGTCTGTAGCCAAGCTGGAGAAGACCATTGATGATTTGGAAGGTACATTCTGGGGACGGGAAGCCAAAGAATACGTGGTGAGGAGTGGGGAGCTGAGGAAGGCTGTCTCCCAGATAGCTGGAGAGTGGAGACACTGCTCTGCTCCTCAATACTTGGAGCATGACCTAACCTCCAGGGTGAGGCTTGGTGCCTCTGGGCTCAAGAGTCATGCCCCATGTATCTACTCTGAAAACAGTCCCCTGGCTGTGCTGCAGCAGGTCTCAAGCTCTTGATCCAAACACCTTGCTGTATCTGACCGATAGTGACAGATAGTGCGGCTGGTGTATCTTGGTTGTGATGTCCTCAGAAATGTAACTGCATTCCTATGCTCCAGCTTAAACCAATTTAAGGAATGACACAGGAAAAAAAATGCCTGAACTCAACAGGAATTGATTACAATAACATACTTGTGTGCAGAATCTCATGCACATGGCCATCTGCTGCAGACAGTGTTGCTGCAAGTCAACCACAATAGTCAGTGAGTCTTGAAACAGCCCCTTCCCAGTGTTGGTCCTGGTTCAAGATTAAATCATCAGAAGCCCCATCCATGTGTTGTGGTGGTCAGCCTGTGCCAAGGATAGGTTCCTTTCCTCCTCCTGTTCCTGGTTTCACAGTACTTCAGGAGCACTCCTGAGGCCAGCCGTTGCAGAATCCTACCTTTCCCCAAGCCATGGGAGGAGAAGGTTGCAATTGCTTCCCTTAAATCTAGGGCTGTGGCTGGATTCTTCTGTGGATAGCTGTGGCTGGAGTGGTGGTGCTGGTAAACCAAAACTCTTACAGGCCTCCTGCCTCAACCACAGCATGTGCCTTTGTGGTCTTTTAGTGCCAGGTCTTGGAGATTCAAAGCCACATCCTACTGTCTGGAGTCACTCAGGAGGCTTAGGCTTTTATCTAGAAATAGCAATGGTGTCAGCTGAGCTGTTCCAGAACCACAGCCAAGAAGCAATCTGAGCCACCTCATGATCCAGGGCAAGCTTTTATTTGGAACTGCAAAAACTCCTCCAAATCCCTGCATGCTCCTCTTGAAACATGTTGATTGAGAGTTGGCTCTGGTCTCCAGCCTTGCTGCTGAAGTGACCTAGTTTATGACAACTGACAAAGTTCTCTGGGCTCTGTGAAGCCGTTAACAACATTACCAGCTGTACTGTAGCCTAGGCAGCCAGAGCTGGGAGAAGTCTGTGCCAGCTCTGCAGAGCGCTCAAGGAGTGCATTAGCAGAGTTTCAGTTTCATGACTGCCTCCTCCCCGGAAGGTGGGTGATCTGCCCGTCTGCTCCATTATCTGATGGAGAACACAGGTGTGGCCTGTCTGTTCAGCTCACCCTGCCTAGCTGCGTACTACAGAATGGGAATTCCCTCTGATGCCCAGGACTATTACGTGACTGACTTCTCCCAAGCCGGTTTTTGTATTGAGACTGAAGGTGACAACAAAGCACCTCAATTGATCTGTGCCTTCCTTAGGTGTAGCAAGCTTCTCCCTAAGTGGATGGAGTTGCCCTTCCCTGCTACTCCTCCTGTCAGTGGTTCTTGCTGACCTAGCTGGGCAGCTTGTTCTCACAAGCTGATGTGGTTTGAATTCTTGGCTCTACTCCCCTCGGAGCTGGATTGTAATCCTGGAAGGCACTTGCTGGTCAGACTGTCCTCACGCTGTTGGAACCCTCCCATTCATTGTTGGGAACTAATATGGAGTCGTTATGGCTCCACATCTAACTTCACTTTCTTCTGTTCATGAATCCCATACTGCTTTTCCTGCCCCAGGGTGTTGGAAGAACTCCTCTGCCTTCCCTTATTGTTTCCCTTTTGTTCTCCTCCTAAACCTCTTCTAGATGAGCTCTATGCCCAGAAACTGAAGTACAAAGCAATTAGTGAGGAACTGGACCACGCCCTGAATGACATGACTTCCATGTAAATATGAGCTGGCTGGTGTTCGCCTCTTGCTTCAGCAGGCTAGACCGCCAGAGCTTGCTTGGTTTGCTGTGATTTTCATAGTTGGAGAATCAATGGCACTGTATCTAGGTTACTTCTACAGATCTCTGCCTCGAGGATTGTGGAGGCTTCCCTGCAGCATGCTGTACTCTAACTCTAGGTCCTTGTGATCTGCATGTGTAACACAAAGTGCTATGCTGGCCTTTCTGACTTGAACTCTGAGTGCAATTCCCAGTCCCACTGGGAAAGGCTTTCTAAGGTAATGTGGCTTAGTTGCCTGCTGGAGCCACTGGGCCATGGTCTCGGGATTCCTCCTGGAAGAGGCTGTGGATAGTGCTTGAGTGGATTCCTTAGGAATTGCTGTAACAGGCTTGAGATGGGCTGGATCATGAACCGATCTGTGGAAGTAGCTGAACTTGTATGTTTCTGCAACTTTGCTGTTCAGATTTGTGGTGGGTTCTGCTAACAGCTGCTCCGCACAGTCCTTACCACTAACCAAGGAGAGGCCAGGTACTTGCACTGCAGAGGAAGAGCCTTAATGCTAGTGTCCAAAAGCTCCCTAAGCAAAGTTTGCTGTGCACAAACACTTAAGCTTCTCTTAAAATTAGTGTCTCCTTCTGTCTCACACAGATAAGTCTTGCGATTCCAAACTCCACTTTGGATTTGCCTCTGCTTGGTGGCTTGTTCTGCATCTGCACCCTGCATTCATGCTCTCATCATCTCGCTCTGAATTCCAGTACCTCTTTCCAGTTACTGTGCACAGGGCATCCCTGGGAATGAGTGCTGTAAAGATGCTGAAGCTTGACAGCAGCAGCAGCCCCCCAGTTATGCTGCACTTGCTCCTAAACAAAGCTCCCTCTGTTTGACCCGATGTGCCAGACACTGCTGTGCTCTGAGGGGCTGCCCTTTCAATGTCTGGGTGTAGCTGGGAGTATGTTGTTCTCATCTGCATATCTTGTGTAGAGCCATAAAGCTCCTTTTGTATTTCTCTTGCCTCTTGCTTGATCATGATGTCACCTTTTTTTAAGGAAAACAATTCTTGTATAAATTGAATGGAACGGCTGGTGCTTTTCAGAAATGGGTTTCTAGTGACCACTTGCTGCTTTAGAGTAACTGTTTCAATGTCGCCTTCAAACCAGTGTAACCCTCATCACCCTTGGTGGAATACGCAGACTTCATTAATGTGCTGGATTTTTCCCTTTGGGTGTCTTATTGCCTCACAGATGTGAATTGCAGCTCTGCAAACGGTGCCTTGGTGTGCAGCATGCTCTGTAGGGTCAAGTGGGAGGCTGGGGTTTGTAGCAGGAAGTCCTGGAGCTGTGCCTGCTTCAGCCTGGCTGAGGACACTACTCACCTGCCTGCTCTGTAGTGTTCACTGGCATCAGTTGCCAAATGCTGGCTTGCAGTGGGAAGTCACTACACCTGATCATCACTAGATCACTGGCAGGGTGTGAAAGCTAATAAATATCAAGTGAGCCCTGGCTGGTTTCCAGCTGGACAGGACTGGTTGGGTGTGATCTGCTGCCTGTGCCTGTGGGGGGGGGGAATGTATGGCCCCTTGCTTCAGGAATGAGAATGCACTGCAGCAGGGCTGTGGGCATCCCAGCCAGGGAATCTGTGTTTTGCAGAGTGCTCCCCTCCCTGTGCAGGGACTGAGGGTGACAGGATCCTCCTGGGAGCGTGGCGTGGAACTTTACACTGAGCACTGCAGCTGGTGACAGGCTGCAAACACTTGACATGCATCACCACTGGTCTGAGTCTGTTGCTAGTTGCTCTGGTATCATAAACACTGATCAGCCTCTTGTAACTGTATGTGCTGCCTCATGGTGGCTTGTCAAATACTTCTTCCTTTCTGGATTGGTTCATATGCCACAGTGCCCGAAGAGCCCTCCATGAACAGAGTTTTGATGAAATGGGACACCTCCCGTGGTTTCCTCAGGTTTGTGTCACTCCGTTCTCCACATGAATGGCACTAGCAGTAAGGATAGTCCAAACACACTGAATTGCCCCAGCCTGTTCTCACTGTCTTCTGTGTCAGGGCTATCCCCTCTGTGCCGGGTCTGGGTGGGGAAGGAGGGAGCATTCCCACAAGGAATTTCAAAGAATAATAGCTTGGAAAGCTCTGGCAGATAGTGGTCTGACTCTCCTGGGGTGTATGGGGCAATAACTCTGTGTCCTGTAAGCACAAAGCAAGAACCCACAACTCCTCAGTAACCAAACCTGCAGCTGGAGTAGGGGGTCTAGATCCTGTGGGAGGGGCAGGGCTTCTGTCACAAGTGTCTGGGTGTGTGGAGGCTTCCAGCCCAGTGTTCAGTTGCCAGCTCTTACCAGGTGGGAGGTAGCACCCTGCCTTTGTGAAATGGCCTCTCTCCTCATGGGGAGATCCTGTCAGCTGTGAGTTTATTACTGACTCGCACTGTGTGGAGCTGGTGGCTCCGCTGTTGCACAGTGGTGTTGCAAGCGATGTTATCGAAGGCTGGGCTGTGGCAGGCCCCTTCCCTGCTCGTCCCAATGGAACTCCACACTGGGTGGTAGGTGGATGGATAGGTGGGTGATGCAACTTCTGCCCTGGGAGGTTTTGAGAGGCTTCTGGTCTGACTGGATTGCTAGGCTTGTGCAGGCTGGTTACCGTGAGCTGGGCTGTTGCCTTGGGAGTGCTGCAAATGCAGATTAGCTGACCAGGAGGCACAGGTCCTGGAGCTCCCCAGGTTGCAAGGATGGCTGGTAAGGCTGCCCTGCGGGCTGGGCAGAGAAGGGAGCAGGCCAAACACCGGAGCTAGTCCCAGCAGACCTGGGCAAGCGTTCGATGTTGAGGAGCTGTTCCTGAGGTCTAGGAAGGGTCACGCTAATTACTTCAGTCAGTCTGCTCCCTCATGTGGGTGGATCATCAGGTCCCTGTCCACAAACAGTAATGCTTGCTTGAAGGCTGTGAGCTGTTGCACCAGCCTACAGTCACCGGTAATTCTGATCGCAGTTCGCTCCCATCCTCTGCCACTCTGGAGACCCAGGACCAGCCCTGATCACCTGGGTCTGGAGACTGGCATCAGGGTGCCCAGCCTACCTGCTCAGAGCCAGCACGGAGGCCAGAGAGTGAGTCCCTAGCAGCAGTAGTAGCTGATGTGCAAGGTAGGCTCCGGTGTAGGCCAGGATGGGGGTGTACGTGTCCCCCATACCACAACTTCCTTTAACTTCTAGTTAGATTGTGGTGGGACAGAAATTGTTGGCTTCTCTGACTGTTGCTTGGTCTCTCGGTGGCTTTAAAAAAGGGACAATCAATCAGCATCACTACCCTCTGTCCTGCAGAGCGAGGTGCAGCTAGAGCAGGTGCTGAGCGCTGAGAGGAGCTGAGGGTAGCTGGGTGAAGGTGAGCTTCCCCCCTTGTGTGCGGCTGTCATGCTGGAGTGACTGGGCTGAGACTCTGGAAAGGGGGACGTGCTTTGGCTGCTCCATGTGAACAGCTTGACTCGGTGTCCTGAATCTTACCTGGCCAGGTCTTGTTCAAGAGCAAAATATTTCTAGGTTGAAAGCAATGAGGAGTGGCGTAGATCCCCTTCAGACAGTGCCCTAGATTCCTACAAGGATTTGAGAAGAAGCCTGAGGCCAGCAAGAATTACTGTGCTTTATGCTCGCTCATCAGGCAGAGGCAGCACGCTGTATGTATTGCTACAGTTTGCGATTATTAATTCTGCCAGGCTGAAAGCTGTTGTATAAGAATTTTTTCACTGCCTGGAATTTCCCCCAAATGCAGGAATTGGAGTTCTCAGGCTGGGAGGACTGTGCCAGTGTAGATGGGCAGAGATAGATGCTGAATTGGTTCTCTGCGGTGGCTGGTTGTGGCTGATAGGCTGCATGGCAGGACAGTGGCCATCCAGCCCAAGAGGTGACCTGTCCTGGGAGAGGATCAGACTGGTTCTCCCTGTCCCTGGAGCTGCTGATGAGTACATGTGCTTGGTACCAGCCTTGGGGACAAGCATGGCTGCTAGAGCTCTGCGAGGTTGTAAGGACAGGGACTGGGTGGGAGGTGAAGGCTGTCAGATGCAGCGGCAGTTTGTGCCCTGCTCATTTAGTTATTCTGGGGCAGACATAAAATAGGAGCCTGTGCTCCAGAACTTCCTCTGTCCTGTACCCGAAGCAGATACTGCCTTCAGTCCTTGTCTACACGTGGTGGGTTGTTAGTGTGGCACAAAGGCATGTCCTTGGAGGAGTGTCCTCCAGGTCAGATGTGAGATGCTGTCATTCTCGGTTCTTCTGGTGTCCCTGTCCTGCTGTTAAAACCCCATCAATCCCACTGCTGTGTGGTGTGACTCACTCTGGAAGGTGCTTCTGGTTCAGCTGTGGTAGGACTACTTCTTTCTGCAAAGTGCTCCACAGGCTTAAAGCACATCCCAAGTCTCTCTCCTTACCTGGGTACAGCCCAGCCTGCAGGCTCCTCTTCTGGTGCTCTCCTCTTCCTTTCTTTGCCTTCGCAAGCCCTTGACAGCACTTCCATTTCTGCCCGCACTTGGTTTCTTCTGTGATCTTCCTGAGCTGAAACGCAAGTTAGAGTAAGGCAAACCTTTGTTCTCCTGGGCTTCATCTGTGTAATAGCCTAGAGTTGATCCTCAGAGGCACGCGTTACGGAGACAGCTTATTTGATGTGCTCATCTTGGTACTCCACTAACCTTCCCTTTCTCTCTTTTTCTCTCTTCCTCTTGTTTCCCCTAATCCTGTTGCTGCTGCAGAGCGCCTGTACAGCCAGCTTGAGAAAAATCGCCTGCTCTCTAACGAGCTGAAGTTAACGCTGCATGATCTGTGTGACTGAGAAGGGGGCCCACTAATGCCATTAAACAAGCTTATTGCGACCACCAGTGCTGTGGACCACAGTGAAATCTGATCATTCTTAAGACTGGCAGACTTGCAAATTTTATGCAATTGCTGCTATTTAATGGGGCACTTGAATTTATCCTCTAATTTATTTAAGAGGTTCGAGCTGAAGTTAACGCTGCATGATCTGTGTGACTGAGAAGGGGGCCCACTAATGCCATTAAACAAGCTTATTGCGACCACCAGTGCTGTGGACCACAGTGAAATCTGATCATTCTTAAGACTGGCAGACTTGCAAATTTTATGCAATTGCTGCTATTTAATGGGGCACTTGAATTTATCCTCTAATTTATTTAAGAGGTGTTTTTTTTTTTTATAAAGGTAACCTCTATTCGTGGTGAAGTAACCCTCAGACTTGGCTGTTTTTTGAGCAGTCTTGTCACTTGTCCAGGGGGTCCTGTCTGGTTCCTCCATGGAACCAGAATGGCTGCACCCCCCAAGAGAGGGGTGGGGTGAAGTTAGGCTTACGTCTGCTAAAAGATGCCTGTCAAGTGCTATGACTTAATTTACTGTTAGCTGAATGACTGTAGGATTTCCTGCTGCATGGAATGATGGCTTCTAACAATAAATGACTGACCTCATGGTCTGTAAGACACTGCATACCTGTAGTACTTTCCTATATAGTTGAGACCTAACCAAGAAGGTTTGGGGGAAGCGGTTATTCTCGGGGCCTGACCTCAGTGCAGCTGCAGAGCCCCGGAATGGGTTGGGAAAGCTCATGGACATCTTGAAAGCAAGTCCCAAAATCCACAGCATGAAGCTGTGTCTTGAGTGCCTGCAGGGAATCTTTAAATACTGCAGTTGCTAGTGCTCTAGGAAGGCTGCTTCTCGCTCTGTGCACAGTTTCTGACCTTGGGGAGGTTGGGGAACAGCTTTGAGAAACTGCCTGTACCTAAAGGACATCTTTCTACAGCCTGTCTGTCCAGTGTCCCAGCGTGTGGATCTCTTCAGTGATAAGGGTGGGCTCACCTTTGGAGTAAAGCCTACCTAGAGCGCTAGTTGCTGATCTGAGCTCTCCTCCTGGCTTAAGGAACATGTGAGAATCGACTGTGCAGCTGCCTGTAGTCACGGGCAGAGATGCAGCACCTTCACTCCTACTTGCTCCCTGCCTATCCTTCACTGAAAACAGCCTCTTCCCTGCTGTCCTTGAGGCATGGTTGTCTTGCTCCCTGCTGCTAGGTAGTTATGGTCTTGGTGACCAGCTTGGCATCTCTGTCCTGTGCTGGGGGGAAGGGGGGCACAACCAGCTGTAATTCCAGGGGGTGATTATTTCTAAGTGTGTTTTACCTCTGCGTTGCTCTTGGGTGCCTTGCTGGGCCATGGGGGTCTGCTGTCTGAAGTGTTGAAGCCCTGGGGAAGGCTAGCTACAGTAGGAGGCACCTGCATGCAAAACACCGCCTAGAGCACTGGCTAAAAGTACATCGTGACCATGCTGACTGGGAGCACTGGCAATGCAAGAGGCAAGGGCTACAGATGAGCCAGGTACCTTCAGAGCTTCTAGCTGCACCCAGCCAGGCACCCCCGGTCTGAGGACTTGCTGCAGCAGTGTGCTGGGAAGGGGCTAGCGCAAGCTTTCTTTGGCGAAGGTTTCTTGGTTGTCTGAAGTTGACTTGTAACTCTTGACTCTTGCTTCCTGCCAGATAAACTGAAATCTACCAAAGAGGAGCATCTCTGCACGCAAAGAATGCTGGACCAGACCCTGCTAGACCTGAATGAGATGTAATGGATCCCTGCCACTGCCTCTGCCACATGATGCTCGGGGGGGCCAGCCCAGCTGCTGCTGACCTCTAACCCTTGGGGACCAGAGTTTACTTTCAGTTGCCAACTTGACCAAACACAAATCTTCTCCTTTGCCTCGGGGTTAAAGGCCATCAGGTTGGGCAGAGCTTCAAACAGCATTATTAAGGGAAATAAACAATGCAATAATGTTTGGGGAGCATGTTTGAGATGTATACATTTTGTAACTACCTTTTTTGTAGCAACCGTTGTAAACATTCCAAATAACTCGTGAGGCTGGTGAGCTACACTTCAAAGCTCTTGGCTTTAAAATTTGGTATTAACCTTCTGTTAATCGGCTCTGGGCTGCCCTGCTTTGGCAGGGGAGGTCCCTGTCCACAAACAGTAATGCTTGCTTGAAGGCTGTGAGCTGTTGCACCAGCCTACAGTCACCGGTAATTCTGATCGCAGTTCGCTCCCATCCTCTGCCACTCTGGAGACCCAGGACCAGCCCTGATCACCTGGGTCTGGAGACTGGCATCAGGGTGCCCAGCCTACCTGCTCAGAGCCAGCACGGAGGCCAGAGAGTGAGTCCCTAGCAGCAGTAGTAGCTGATGTGCAAGGTAGGCTCCGGTGTAGGCCAGGATGGGGTGTACATGTCCCCCATACCACAACTTCCTTTAACTTCTAGTTAGATTGTGGTGGGACAGAAATTGTTGGCTTCTCTGACTGTTGCTTGGTCTCTCGGTGGCTTTAAAAAAGGGACAATCAATCAGCATCACTACCCTCTGTCCTGCAGAGCGAGGTGCAGCTAGAGCAGGTGCTGAGCGCTGAGAGGAGCTGAGGGTAGCTGGGTGAAGGTGAGCTTCCCCCCTTGTGTGCGGCTGTCATGCTGGAGTGACTGGGCTGAGACTCTGGAAAGGGGGACGTGCTTTGGCTGCTCCATGTGAACAGCTTGACTCGGTGTCCTGAATCTTACCTGGCCAGGTCTTGTTCAAGAGCAAAATATTTCTAGGTTGAAAGCAATGAGGAGTGGCGTAGATCCCCTTCAGACAGTGCCCTAGATTCCTACAAGGATTTGAGAAGAAGCCTGAGGCCAGCAAGAATTACTGTGCTTTATGCTCGCTCATCAGGCAGAGGCAGCACGCTGTATGTATTGCTACAGTTTGCGATTATTAATTCTGCCAGGCTGAAAGCTGTTGTATAAGAATTTTTTCACTGCCTGGAATTTCCCCCAAATGCAGGAATTGGAGTTCTCAGGCTGGGAGGACTGTGCCAGTGTAGATGGGCAGAGATAGATGCTGAATTGGTTCTCTGCGGTGGCTGGTTGTGGCTGATAGGCTGCATGGCAGGACAGTGGCCATCCAGCCCAAGAGGTGACCTGTCCTGGGAGAGGATCAGACTGGTTCTCCCTGTCCCTGGAGCTGCTGATGAGTACATGTGCTTGGTACCAGCCTTGGGGACAAGCATGGCTGCTAGAGCTCTGCGAGGTTGTAAGGACAGGGACTGGGTGGGAGGTGAAGGCTGTCAGATGCAGCGGCAGTTTGTGCCCTGCTCATTTAGTTATTCTGGGGCAGACATAAAATAGGAGCCTGTGCTCCAGAACTTCCTCTGTCCTGTACCCGAAGCAGATACTGCCTTCAGTCCTTGTCTACACGTGGTGGGTTGTTAGTGTGGCACAAAGGCATGTCCTTGGAGGAGTGTCCTCCAGGTCAGATGTGAGATGCTGTCATTCTCGGTTCTTCTGGTGTCCCTGTCCTGCTGTTAAAACCCCATCAGTCCCACTGCTGTGTGGTGTGACTCACTCTGGAAGGTGCTTCTGGTTCAGCTGTGGTAGGACTACTTCTTTCTGCAAAGTGCTCCACAGGCTTAAAGCACATCCCAAGTCTCTCTCCTTACCTGGGTACAGCCCAGCCTGCAGGCTCCTCTTCTGGTGCTCTCCTCTTCCTTTCTTTGCCTTCGCAAGCCCTTGACAGCACTTCCATTTCTGCCCGCACTTGGTTTCTTCTGTGATCTTCCTGAGCTGAAACGCAAGTTAGAGTAAGGCAAACCTTTGTTCTCCTGGGCTTCATCTGTGTAATAGCCTAGAGTTGATCCTCAGAGGCACGCGTTACGGAGACAGCTTATTTGATGTGCTCATCTTGGTACTCCACTAACCTTCCCTTTCTCTCTTTTTCTCTCTTCCTCTTGTTTCCCCTAATCCTGTTGCTGCTGCAGAGCGCCTGTACAGCCAGCTTGAGAAAAATCGCCTGCTCTCTAACGAGCTGAAGTTAACGCTGCATGATCTGTGTGACTGAGAAGGGGGCCCACTAATGCCATTAAACAAGCTTATTGCGACCACCAGTGCTGTGGACCACAGTGAAATCTGATCATTCTTAAGACTGGCAGACTTGCAAATTTTATGCAATTGCTGCTATTTAATGGGGCACTTGAATTTATCCTCTAATTTATTTAAGAGGTTTTTTTTTTTATAAAGGTAACCTCTATTCGTGGTGAAGTAACCCTCAGACTTGGCTGTTTTTTGAGCAGTCTTGTCACTTGTCCAGGGGGTCCTGTCTGGTTCCTCCATGGAACCAGAATGGCTGCACCCCCCAAGAGAGGGGTGGGGTGAAGTTAGGCTTACGTCTGCTAAAAGATGCCTGTCAAGTGCTATGACTTAATTTACTGTTAGCTGAATGACTGTAGGATTTCCTGCTGCATGGAATGATGGCTTCTAACAATAAATGACTGACCTCATGGTCTGTAAGACACTGCATACCTGTAGTACTTTCCTATATAGTTGAGACCTAACCAAGAAGGTTTGGGGGAAGCGGTTATTCTCGGGGCCTGACCCCAGTGCAGCTGCAGAGCCCCAGAATGGGTTGGGAAAGCTCATGGACATCTTGAAAGCAAGTCCCAAAATCCACAGCATGAAGCTGTGTCTTGAGTGCCTGCAGGGAATCTTTAAATACTGCAGTTGCTAGTGCTCTAGGAAGGCTGCTTCTCGCTCTGTGCACAGTTTCTGACCTTGGGGAGGTTGGGGAACAGCTTTGAGAAACTGCCTGTACCTAAAGGACATCTTTCTACAGCCTGTCTGTCCAGTGTCCCAGCGTGTGGATCTCTTCAGTGATAAGGGTGGGCTCACCTTTGGAGTAAAGCCTACCTAGAGCGCTAGTTGCTGATCTGAGCTCTCCTCCTGGCTTAAGGAACATGTGAGAATCGACTGTGCAGCTGCCTGTAGTCACGGGCAGAGATGCAGCACCTTCACTCCTACTTGCTCCCTGCCTATCCTTCACTGAAAACAGCCTCTTCCCTGCTGTCCTTGAGGCATGGTTGTCTTGCTCCCTGCTGCTAGGTAGTTATGGTCTTGGTGACCAGCTTGGCATCTCTGTCCTGTGCTGGGGGGAAGGGGGGCACAACCAGCTGTAATTCCAGGGGGTGATTATTTCTAAGTGTGTTTTACCTCTGCGTTGCTCTTGGGTGCCTTGCTGGGCCGGTTGTCTTGCTCCCTGCTGCTAGGTAGTTATGGTCTTGGTGACCAGCTTGGCATCTCTGTCCTGTGCTGGGGGGAAGGGGGGCACAACCAGCTGTAATTCCAGGGGGTGATTATTTCTAAGTGTGTTTTACCTCTGCGTTGCTCTTGGGTGCCTTGCTGGGCCATGGGGGTCTGCTGTCTGAAGTGTTGAAGCCCTGGGGAAGGCTAGCTACAGTAGGAGGCACCTGCATGCAAAACACTGCCTAGAGCACTGGCTAAAAGTACATCGTGACCATGCTGACTGGGAGCACTGGCAATGCAAGAGGCAAGGGCTACAGATGAGCCAGGTACCTTCAGAGCTTCTAGCTGCACCCAGCCAGGCACCCCCGGTCTGAGGACTTGCTGCAGCAGTGTGCTGGGAAGGGGCTAGCGCAAGCTTTCTTTGGCGAAGGTTTCTTGGTTGTCTGAAGTTGACTTGTAACTCTTGACTCTTGCTTCCTGCCAGATAAACTGAAATCTACCAAAGAGGAGCATCTCTGCACGCAAAGAATGCTGGACCAGACCCTGCTAGACCTGAATGAGATGTAATGGATCCCTGCCACTGCCTCTGCCACATGATGCTCGGGGGGGCCAGCCCAGCTGCTGCTGACCTCTAACCCTTGGGGACCAGAGTTTACTTTCAGTTGCCAACTTGACCAAACACAAATCTTCTCCTTTGCCTCAGGGTTAAAGGCCATCAGGTTGGGCAGAGCTTCAAACAGCATTATTAAGGGAAATAAACAATGCAATAATGTTTGGGGAGCATGTTTGAGATGTATACATTTTGTAACTACCTTTTTTGTAGCAACCGTTGTAAACATTCCAAATAACTCGTGAGGCTGGTGAGCTACACTTCAAAGCTCTTGGCTTTAAAATTTGGTATTAACCTTCTGTTAATCGGCTCTGGGCTGCCCTGCTTTGGCAGGGGAGGAAGAAGGGTGTGATGGTTCCTGGCTGTGGGCCACTGAATCAAAGTAGCTGGGCTAGGGATGGAAGCCTGTTGGGAAAACTTCCTTTCCAGGAGCTGTTTGCCAAAAGAGCAGTTCAGTTTCTCAGCTTTAAGGTAACTCTGTGTTGTGGGGAAGCAACTTGGGCAAAAGGAGACTTTTTTTTTTTTAAAGCCAAGCCTGTTATCTGAACAATTGGACCTTCACGTAGGTTGTTTCCCTTCCCCCCCTCCCCCACTGTTGGCCGCTTCCTTTCCTGGTAGGCTTAGAGAAGCCATGGCCCCTCTAACCATTGCCAGACAGGGGTTCAATTTGCATTCACTAAGTGCTGATGCACCAAGCTTTATCGCTCATCGCTGGGTTACACTTAAGTACAACAGCCTTGTTTTCTTGGCGAAGTTTTTTTGCCTACCCTGAGGGAGGGAATTGAGGCCTTCCTTCCTGGCCAGGAGTGCCCTTAGTGTCTTAAGGTACAAGCCATCTTGCTGTGCATTGCTGATGTGTAGTTGTTGTGAGGCGTGAGTGTGGAGATGTGTCAAGCTCGCAGTGTGTAGCTTGTGCTCGAGCATGCTGCTTGGTTGTAGCAGTTTTAGGGGCCAATCTGGAGAAAAGAACCCTATCAAGTGTTTTGATACTAAATTGAAAAATTGTCTTACTGTCTTTTGAAATAAAAACCAATCCCTCCACGTTGCTGTCTGGCTGCAGAGCTTTACTGTGCGTGAGCTGCTCCGTCTGGGGCTGCGGGGGATGAGGGTGGGTCTGAAGACCGGAGCCTGCGCCCGTCCCTCAGGGAGGAGACCGGGGGTGAGGTAAGGCCAAGCTCGCCTGCTTCTTCCCAGGTCCAGAGCGCAAAAGCAGACCTGTGGGGGCGAGTCCTCCCTCTTTTACCTCAGCCCTTCGGGGAGGGGGGGGGAGCTGCTGCCTGCAGCGCGGGTGGGGGGCCGGGTCGCCTCCGCGCCGCGGACCGGTAGGCGGCAAGGCGCATGCGCACGGCGGCGAGGTACGCACTACGCCTGGTCGGGGGGTGGGCGGGACCATCTGAACGCGCATGCGCAGGGCGGAGGTGCGCGGGAAGTGCGGTCTGCTGCCAGCGCTGTCGTGGCTGCAGTCTGACAGGAGGAGGCGGGCTTGGCTGCCTGCTCTCCTCTTCCTCCTGTTCTTGGCGGTGCCCGTCTTCGCCTTTAAGCTAAATGTGCCCAAAGTGTCGCTGCCCTTCAGCCGGGAGCTCTGGGTTCCCTTTGAGCTAGAGATCGGA